TATATATATATGATCCAACATGTGTGTGCACCATGTGTGTTCAGAAACCCTCAGAAGCCAGAAGAGGGCATCAGATCTCCTGGAACTGGAGTTGCAGGCAGTTGTGAGCCACCATATGGATGCTGGGAAGTTTCTAACTTTATCCATATTTATATTTATTCCAAATATTTATTGACAAAATTATCTGATATGGCTGGGAAAATACTGAACAATGACATGGGATACAAGAAATGACTCGTATTTTCAGTCATGTTCACTGCTTTTACTCCCAAGTACATGTAGTTGGCAAGATACAGATAAAATTAGTATCAGTGGAGGAGATTCACTGCACAGACTTTGCAATCAGATTTAACCTGGAAAAGTGTGTAAATACCACCATTCCTGTTAGTGATAAAGTCTCCAGGATTGGTGTTATAAAAGGATAATGTATTGCTGAGTTATTATGGATTCACATATATTAGGAATACTTCATTTGCTAAGCAACTTAATTACAAACATTTACTATGTGTGAATGTGAGTTACTTTTCTTTTGTGCTGCCACGCAGTACAGCTACACACAAATAGTATGTAAGTTACAGGTAATCCTTAAATAATATTAGTGGAATTAACCCTAAAATTAGTGATTTTTATGCATTCTACTCATGAAATATATATTTACTGTGTTTTTATTTTTATGTGTCTGAGTGTGTTGCCTACATGTAACATAGGTTACAGTTATTAGCTGCCATGTGGGTGCTGGGAATCTGACCTGGGTCCTCTGAAAGAGCAGTCAGTGCTCTTAACTGCTGAGCCATCATCCCCAAGAAATATATTTTGTATACATTAAAAAATATTCAAACTTCCTATTATAACTAAGTGAGCTGAATTTACTGAAAATTAAAACTTGAAGTGATTTATTGTACATCAGTTAAAAAGACTTTGTGTGCTATGGAGAATAAAGTCAGTTATCTAAGTTTTTTAAATCACATAAGGAAATATTTTTCATTTTCAATAGTGCCTATGTTGCTTTATTACTTATTAATATGATTTTGAAACAGTAGTCAACTTAAAATGAAACTAAAACACTTTGCTAAATTTAATCTAGCATGGCTTTAATGAGAAACAATGAGAATGGTGAATATAAGTTCCAATGTCAGCCTGGGAAACATCATGAAACACTGTCAATGAATCAATCAATGAATCAATCAATGAATCAATGAATCAGTGAATCAATTGTTAAATGAATGAATGAATGAATGAATCAATCAATCAATCAATCAATAAATCAATGCATTTAACTTCTGTTAACCCGGATTCACATGAATGCACTGTTCCATAGATTTTTTTAAAGAAACTAAGGAGGAGATCTAAATATGATAAAAATACATCGTATTAAATTCACAATAATTCAGTTAAAAACTAATTAAGAGGGGCTGGAGAGATGATCAGTGGTTAAGAATGCTGTCTGTTCTTGCAGAAGACCTGGGTTCGAATCCCAACACCCACATGCCAGCTAACAATGTCCTTAACTCCAGTCCCAGGGGATCCAGCAGCCTCTTCTGACCTCTGTGGGCATTGTACAACACGGGTGCACTTACCTACATGCAGGCAATACACACATACACATAAAATAAAAATAATAAAATAAAAAATAAAGTAACAACATAAAAAAAACTAATTAAGAAGTTCTTTGTGTGGGGTGTAGCAATCATCACATACACTCTTGATTCCTCTTTGTTGAGTTGTGTTTAATACTAACAACTTAATGCTATGGCCTGGAAAATATATAATAATCTTCTTACTGCATTTGTCTTATTAATATCTATTAATGAGACAGATGTTCTCACAATTTGTAGATTGAAAGACATGACAGCTGCTCCTATGACCACCTAGAAATTCGAGATGGGACCAGTGAAAACAGCCCTTTGATAGGAAGATTCTGTGGTTATGACAAACCTGACGACATCAGATCTACCTCCAATACTCTGTGGATGAAGTTTGTTTCTGATGGAACTGTGAATAAGGCAGGGTTTGCAGCTAACTTTTTTAAAGGTAATTTGCAGCTTACAAAAGTGCAGTTTTCTTTGTCATGTATATATGCAATATTAAGCTTTTAATTTGGGGGAAATTTGGATTGACATTTTGGAAGTTAATGTATGCACTGTCTGTAAGGATATTTTAGCAAGTTTTAATAAAATAAAAATGATATGTAAAATATTAGCACTGAAACATACAGACTGAGACCCGCATTAGAATACCACCTTAGAATACCATGTTTTCTCTTTCTTTCCTTCTTTCTTTCTTTTTCTTTCTTTCTTTCTTTCTTTCTTTCTTCTTTCTTTCTTTCTTTCTTTCTTTCTTTCTTTCTTTCTTTCTTTCTCTCTCTCTCTCTCTCCCTCCCTCCCTCCCTTCCTTCTTCCTGTCTTATTTTTTTTCTCTCTCTCTTTCATTATTTGTAAATGGAAATATTCAAAATAGAAAAATACAAAGTAGGTACCAGAGATGGCTCAGTGGGTAAAAGCACTTGCCACTCAAGCCTGATGACCTGAATTCGATCCCCCTGAGCCCAGGCGAAAATGCCTTGTGTGCATCTGTAATCTCAGACCTCTGATTGTGAGATGGGTGGTAAAGATAGGAAAATCTTCTAGAAGCTTATTGTTCAGCTAGCCCCTAGTAGACTTTACAACAGAAACAAAAGACTCTGGCCCCAACAAGGTGGACATCAAGGACCCCTTCCTGAAAGTTGTCCTGTCTAATGCCACCTGTGCTCTGGAATGTGGTGTGTGTGTGTGTGTGTGTGTGTGTGTGTGTATGTATGTGTGTGTACACTCACACACTCACGCACATGCACAATTTGAAAAAAGAAAAATGTGCTGGGTGTGGTGGTGCACACCTTTAATCCTAGTACTTGGGAGCCAGAGAGACAGGTAGATCTTTGTAAATTCACAGGGAGACCCTGCCTCAAGAAAACCAAAAAGAAGAAAGAAAAAGAAAGGAAGGAAGGAAGGAAGGAAGGAAGGAAGGAAGGAAGGAAAGAAGGAAGGAAAGAAAGATGCAGAAATATAATTATGTATAGGGAGAAAATCCTTTCAGTAATAGAAGAGGCTCTGTTTACAAGCAGTTTATCAACTCATTTCTAGTAGCCAACATTTATAAAGAATATCTTAGAGAATGGAGTTCCTCCACATTAGAAACAAATTATGACCACTTTAGCACAATATACTAATAGCTAAAATACCTTTGACCAAGAATTATTGCTGATAAGCTTTCAATTTACATGAAATACTTTGAGTTATTCTAGTATGCATTTACTAAAGTAAAAATGAAAGCTATGTTAGTGCAAACATTAACATCAAATGTACATGAAGGGAATTTATAGACACGTATGCAGTGCATAATTTTTAATAAAAATTTCCTGTGGGAACAATAAACAAAATTTTCTCTGTGCTGGATTTTATAGGATAAATGACGCTCAATTTACTTATGTCTAAATTTACCAATAGGCGTGTAAATGTTTCATCACTTAAATAGCAACAGTTTAATGCATTTTTCACAAGAGTCACTTAGGTATTCATCCTGTATGTTGAAAGGCAAAGGAAGTTGTCACTTCAGCTCTATAAATGTAAATGTATCGGTTTAAATTTTTCTGTGTGTGTCATATTTTGCAGTGGCAGAAACATACCGTAAAATTTCTTTCTTGTGATTATGTGTTTATCAAAAGTGCTTACTATTTTACAGATCCATAACTTCTCCACAAGATATTTAATATTTGCCTAATCCACACTAGGTTATGTATGAAAAGTAAAATCATGGCGTACTTGTCATGGTGTGCTTTAATAATAATATATATTTAGCATTTACAGAGCTATGTCCTCAGTCTCAATGTCTATATAAAAAATAATGAAGCTTTAAATTTAAAGAAGTCCAGTCAACAGCTGTTTCATTTTTACAAAAATTTATAGCCACCACAATCTGCTTCTCAATGACAGTTACTTAAAAGCATTTGTGTGTATTCTATGTGTGGGTGTGTGCTGGTAATTGAACCCAGGGCTTTGAGATATGAACAGCGCATGCTCTGTCTCTTAGTTGTGTGTGTCTCTCCAGCTCCTAAAAGCATATTTTGAGATTTATCTAACAAATTATACTATGAAATCAGTAATTGAAACTATACGTTTTCAATTCAATTAAGAAAAATTTCTAGGCTTTTAATATCTATTTGTAATAATATCTATTTGACCTAAAATGCAGGAAAAATACGCACTGTACAATGACTTTCAGTGATCTCTGTCACAAGCATCTAGTCTTTCTCTTGTTCAACATTTTTAGGTTGAAGCAACATGAATTCCTGTATGTCTTCACCACAGGCTCATACATTGCTCTTAAACTTTTGGTGAAGAAATGAGTGGTCTCTGTTTAATTCAAAGCTGTTACTAACCATATCTTTTAAAGTTTTGCATCCTCATTGCTAAATGCAGGACACCCTAATTACTCTGTAATTATCCTCAGTTTTTAGTTTTTCTGCTTTAAAAAATGTTATTTCTATAACATTTATACATTTATTATTTAACATTTATACATTATTAATTTATACACAATAGTGGGTTTCATTGTGATGTTTTCATACATGTCTATATTGCAATTTGATCACTCATGTTATTCTTCTTGTCTCCCTAGTTTTTCTGTTTTCCTTTTGTTGTTATTGTTGCAATTTTTATTGAATTTTTGTACTTTCCTCATTCTTATAGAAGAAGACGAATGTTCCAAACCTGACCGAGGAGGCTGTGAGCAGCGGTGTCTTAACACATTGGGCAGCTACCAGTGTGCCTGTGAGCCTGGGTATGAACTGGGGCTCGACAGGAGGAGCTGTGAAGGTAGGACTGGACTCTCTCTCTCCCTCTCTCTATATATATATCTTTCTGTGTGTCTCTCTCTGTCTCTCTTCATTCTCCCATCCTGCCTCCCCTCTCTTCTGTCCTCTCTCCCTTTCTTCCTCTCTCTCTTTGCATATATGTGTATGTATATCATCTATACATATCTTTCTGTGTGTCTTTCTTTTTTCTCCCATCCTGCCTCCCCTCCTCTTCTGCCCTCCCTTTCTCTCTCTCTCTCTCTCTCTCTCTCTCTCTCTCTCTCCTCACTTTCTTCTACAATGACTCAAGCAGACATAAACCTTGCCTGGATTCTTGTTAGGATCAGTCCTTTCCTCCTTTTGAGGCCTATATCTTTTCTATCTCCAGTTTAGTGTAGATCTATATATATCTCCAGCCATTCCATCATCTGCCCCTTTCATCTGTTCATTCTTCAGTTCAGCCCACCTTCACCCATCCATTCCTCCTGCCACACCTCCCTTTATGCATGCATGTATCCCATCATCTATCTTTGTATGTATCTGTCCTTTATCCACTGTAGTTTTTATCATTTTTTAGCATAATATATGTGTAGATGCCACTTACTGACCTGAATGGCCTGAGTTTGGCCATCTTCATGTCTTTACAATCTACCACAGACATAAAGGCATTTAGCATAAAGCTACATGGTTTTATGAATTAATGAGTTATGAATTAATGACTAATTAAACAAAGGCATTTTGCTATGGCTATCTAATCCCTTTCTTGCTATCTCACATGAGGGTTCCTGCACACTGTTTTGTTACCAGGGCCTGTGATAAATGTCTTCAGAATTTAAAGTTGCTTCACTTAACTTTCTCCATTTCAATATAGGCCTCAATCCTCAGTTTACAAACAGGAAATATTGACTGATGTTTCCTTTAGTCATCCTCTTTTTAAGATTTCTGTCAAAGCACCTTCACAGAAATGTCAGCAGTCTACTATTTATAGTTATATTTTAAAATTTTGTGTTTTATCACCAAAATGTAAGTTCTCTAAAAATGAGCACTTTGTAATCCACTTTGATGGTCTTGGAAGTAAAGAAATGTAAGTGATGCTTATTTTAGATAGGTCATTTACAGGAAAAGGAAACTATTGTTAAATGGAATAATTGGAATAAATATGCCATGTTTGCTACAATTTATCTCTGTTACTACTGTAGATTAAACATCCTTCCTTGTTTTAGGAAAACAACTTGAGAAATAAACAATTTTGTTTTATTGCATCAGAATATATTTTTTTCTATCTATGTCTATCAGTCCATCTGTCCATCCATCCATCTATTATCGATCAATCATGTTTATGTCATCTACTATCTATCATCCATATTTTTCCTCAGTTCCTAAAATTTCATTAAATTACAGAGACCATTTTTCTCTTAATTTTATAGTAGCCAAAACACTACAGGATGTTTCATACACATTGGCAAGAGAAGAAAATCCAGAACTGGTTTTGTATTACCCAGACTTTAAGTGACTGAAAATTTTATACTAGAGCCATAATTTGCTTTGTTGCAAAGCTACCAGTGATCAGTCTATCAATGGGGTTTGACGATAAATTGTTTTACTAAAACCTATGGACTGAGGATGCAGGCTCTAGGTATTTTTCAAGCTTTAAAAATTTATTGAGAATTTCATACATGCATATAAGGTGTTTTGATCAAATCCAACCCACTCCTTTCCCTCCAAGTCCTGCCATAGCTCCCCATCTTTTTTTTTCTGACAACTTCATGTACTCTTTCTTCTTCTCTTTTTCTATGGGACTTTTTGGTACTCTAATATTCCCCGCTCTTTGTTTTGACATCTACAAGATGCTTTGCTTTTAGTGATCAGATGGTGGGTGTGAGTGGTAAAGTGTTTAGAGGAGAGGTCTGTATTAACAAGTATCTTTCCTTCTATTTGCTTCTAGCTGCTTGTGGTGGACTTCTTACCAAACTTAATGGCACAATAACCACTCCTGGCTGGCCCAAAGAATACCCACCAAATAAAAATTGTGTGTGGCAAGTGGTTGCACCAACCCAATACAGAATTTCTGTGAAATTTGAATTTTTTGAATTGGAAGGCAATGAAGTAAGTGAACAAAACATCTATATATTTTATCACATTTTTTAAAAAAAGTAACATTTATTTTTCACTGTAGAATCCAGGAAAATTACAGAAACATATAAAAAGGAAAACTGTAAAATAAATTTACATACAACTATAACACTATGTTCATATAGAAAGTCAGTTTTTTTTTTTACTGTGGTATTTTCTATCTTATCAAAAAAAGTCACTGACAATGGTGGCATAAAAGTTATTGTGACAACCAGTCGCTTTCTGATTGGATTTGTGGGAAGGAATTCAGGCTTGGTTGTGACACTGTTTTATCACATTTTGAGAATCCCTGAAAGTAAAGTGACAAACTTAAAGATGGACAGCAATGCGATGTGTTCACAGCAATGTGTTCTTTCTTAGTTTCACTGCTCATTTCTGTGTGTACTTAAGATTCTGTTTTCATGGATGAAATTTTATAATGTTTCTGAAAGTTTGAAAATTACCTGGAGAGTTTTTAGTAATTTTAATGTGCTCTATTTCCATGATTTATTAATTAACTATAGAATATTTAAAATCTGATTTTTAAAAAATATTTTATTTATTTTTAGTTTATGTGTATAAGGGTTTTGCCTGCATTCATGTAAGTGCACCTGTGTTGTGCAATGCCCTCAGAGGGCAGAAGACTGTGTCAGATTCCCTGGAACTGGAGTTACAGATGGCTGTTAGACACCATGTGGGTGCTCAGATTCAAAACAGGACCTCTGCGAGAGCAGCCAGTGCTCTTAAACACTGAGCTATCTCTCTAGCCCTCTAGGATCTTCTTTCATGTCATGTAGATATTCCCTGAAAAAATTAAAACAATTAGTTGAGTCAAAACAAAAATATCTACTTAGGGGAGTAAGGTGCAGCGAGTTTTAGAGTGGGTCTATTTACCTTCTGTAGATTTTCAATACTGTGCTTGTGGTTCATATACCAAAAATATTCCTTTTATTCTAAGAAAATATGAATTTAACCAAAGCCATCATTCCTGTATAAAACATAGCTTACAGGACTGAGAGTTCGTTGTTTTGACAGGTTACCCCATTGAAAATAGTGAAATCATTTTTTGGAAGGCCTACATGCAGTCCGCAGACACCAAGCTCCAGTAGAATAGCAAGCCAAGGAATGATGACTTTTAGAAAACTGTCACTTGGATTTTTGGTTAGCACAGCATTAATTCCAGCTTAAAAGTATTTGTTTCCTAACAGCTCTTTTTTTTTCTTTTAAAACATTGTTCTTCCTTTCTTCCGAATTCCATTTCTGCATTTATGTTTAAATGAACATGATTTAACACCACTAAATAATATTAAATTTAACTCGTGGAAATGATTTGTCTTGGTTGTATGTCTGCTGAAACTTCAAAAACACAGAACCAGAAACATAGCATATCTATGTCCCTTGCACACAGTTTTGGGTGTATTTGAAGGTTTTATATACACTTTTGTTTTGATGGACTTATTTTTGTCTCTTGTCTGTTTCTTTCTGATAATATTCTTGCTTTTAAACACTTCTTTCCCCCTCACTCAGCTGTAGTAATGGTGCTTAGGAGTATTATTTGGGCTTTGAATTAAAAGTGGTTGGCAACTTTTGTATGGCAAAGTTAGGCATTTTAGAGAATTGTATCATTATAAAAGTCAATGGCTGGGACTGAGGAGATAACTCAGGTGGTAAAGTGCTCACCACATAAGCATGAGGACCCATGTTGTATACCCAGCACCCACATAAAAGATCAGGCATCATGGCATGTGACCCTGGGTCTTACTGTACAGCCATTATAGCTTAATACATGAGCCTCAGGGACAGTGGGAGACTCTGTCTCAAAAACCAAGGTGGGCAGCTTCTGAAAAATGACAACTAAAGCTGACCTCTGCCCTCTAGATGCACATGCGCACAAGTGCTTACACACCCACCACCACAGAAAGAACATGCGCACTCAAACACCCATACCAACACAGGTCAATGGACTTTTGATGTTATTTTCTAATAACATATTCAAGATAGATGATGAGGCAGGCAGTTTATCCTCTTAATGTAGTTTTTAAAATATATTTTATTATTTTTTTATTTTATCTTTATAAATATGTTACCTGCATGAACATAATTATGCTCATGTCATGCGAATGCCCATGGAGGTCAGAAGAGGGCATCAAATTCCCCTGGAACTGAGGTTATGGGTATTTGTTAGTCACCATGTGGGTGCTGAATATCAACCCTGGTTCTCTGCAAGAGCAGCCTGTGCTCTTAACCACTGAGCCATCTCTCCAGCTCCCCTGTTAATGTTTTCAATCCACATGGAACATCGTTTATCTTTAATAACTAACATGGATCAGAGTGAATACTAAACTGTGTAAAACAACATTTTTATGATACATTTAGAAATGCTTTTGCATGTGGTACACTTTCTGAAAATGCGATTTCTTTAGCAATCTGTGATTTGATATGAACTGAATGTTGAAGAACTTTTACTCACATAATTTTTCCTAAAGCTATTAGTTGTGTAAAGTGAGACATTTTGAGTCACTAATTGACATATGTTTTTAAGAAGAGTAAAGGTTTCTATTTAGGTGGAAGGAGCAGAGGAGGTTTTATACAAATAGGGTTTTGTATTCTAGAAATCATTATTCTCACAGTAATGGTCATCATTCATGGAATGGCTGGTTGCAAGTTTTGTTAACTTATGCCAGAGTTCTTAAATGTATAATGGTGTTACTATGTGGACAGTCACCTCAGCATTCTGTGTATTTTTGTAGTTTAATAACTTACGTGTTTACAATAAAAGGCCTGAGCAAAACCTTAACTCATAGAATATTGGATTAAGTTAAAATTTCATCATTTTATCCTTGTACTGATACCTGATAGGAAAGTCCATGGTAAAGAACTTTATCCCCAGAAACATTTTTCTTGCATTGTATGGGACTCTTTCAAAACAAACATCACACTCTAACAAAATAGGCAGAAAACTTACTTCATTTTTTTTCCCTGGAGCAGTTTGTTTATTTATCACCCAATTAATATCACAGGAACCAGTAATTTGAGTTGACATATTTCAAAGTACAGATCATGCCCCAGGGTTCAATCTTACGCATTGTTAAACCCTGCTAATTACACATTTATATAATAAGGGCATTCATGCAAGATGTGTTTTTTAGAATGTGCTCCATTAGAGCTTGGGTAAAGTGCTCTGGAAACATCTGTTAGAGGCCATAAAATTGCTTAAGAATACTTGGCATTCACTTTGGTTCTTCCATCTTGATGGTGCTGGTGCATTACAGTGAAATCAGATGACTTCAGTTTGTTACAAATTCATGGCTCCATTTCACTGAAAAGAGTTTGTATTTCTTTATAATCTTGTTTATAGCAATCCTACAGAACAACTCATGGTACCTTACTTGGCAAGAAAACCTAGAAAGTTGAGTTATTTAAATAAGTTTTAGGAGCTAGAGACATGGCTCAACAGTTAAGAGCACTGGCTGCTCATACAGAGGACCCAGATTTGATTGCCAGCACCCACAGGGTGGCTAAAAACCATTCATAACTCCTGTTCCAGGGTATCTGATGCCCTCTTCTGACCTCTGTGGGTGTTGCAAGACATGAATGCACTTACATGCACACAATACACCCATACACCTAAAATAAAAATGATAAATAAAATATTTTTTAAAATAAGCTTTAAAGATAAAGGACTTTTTATTGTATAGTACAGGTCTGCCTTTCAGTTTGGAAACTGTGTATGACACTGCTCTTATCACAACACTATGCTCCTGGTATATAACACTTGACAACATATTACTCCAGGCTGTTAGCTACCACAACCATGTGTGATAAGTATCATTTTGAACATGTTATCAGTTTTATTATCGCCCCCACACACAAATGGAATGAATGACTTCTATTAACAGTAGATGTTTCACAGGCTAAATGTACCAATCTTATATATTTGTTATCATAATTAAATAAGACATGACAGATACTTTCAGATTCATT